AGGATCCATTAGGGGGGTGGTTCTATTGCCGTTATAAATGCGCATTATCTGACCCGGCTGGGCGCTTATCAGGTAGTCGGGGCCAACTTTATTGCTACCCCCGCTTGTTTTATGGCCTCCAACCTGTGCACTTGAGTCAGCTGTGCAAAGTTTTCGGTGGGGATTTCGCGGGGGAATTCCGAAAGGGATCACCCCAATTGCTTTAAAAATAGTTACAATTGGTTTTCATTATCGCCTGGTCGACTGTTTAATTAGAGATTCCCCACTGGGCATCTTGCGGTTTAGTTTTTATTGCGCCTCGGCATTACGTTGAAGTAATTACAATTATGAGAACTATTTTTATCTACACCTACAGTGGGCGCCAGGGCTGTAAGAGCTGATAATTAACCTTGTTCAATAACCCCTTTAATAACAAAATCAGTCAAATTGCTGATAACTTGTTTTAGCTTGAACTGAATGATAAATAACAAAAGGTGTTATTAAATCTTGTAACTTTTGTACTTATTATGAGGGTCTTACGATAAATATTTTGATAACTAATTTAACTTCGAATGTTGAAGGTCCAAAGATAAATTTGTATCTCAGAAGTGCTAACAAATCGTTAATTATCATGAACTTCTTAAGTTCTATAGCTTCACGAGTAATGTACAAACATATCATGCAACGCTACACATACCGAATATCTTGTTGATTACCAGATTTATTAGAAATTAACTGTAACAGGTTTATAAATTCCTATGTATATTGAATTTCAATTTTTATAAACAATGTAAACAATAAATAAACAGAATACCCGTCTGGTTTAACTATAGGGTCTAGACTGTAGATTATCAAAAAATTTAAAGACACCATAAAACAATGATTTGATGGAAATAACTTAATGTTCCTTGAAGTCTTTATTTTTAGTTTAAAAAACCAAAAAATATAACGTTTTGAAATAAACATTTATTAAATATTTAATACCTAAAACATAAAATATGAAATAGCTTTGAGAATGTTTCCAGTCGGTCGGTTTATTCTCTCTATAAATTCTTGTCTGTCCCTAGAAATTTATCGCAGCTGGTTGCTATTTATGGCATAGGTGCGGACAACACCCCACCAACCCCACCACATTCCACCCACTCCCCAAACCCCGCTAATTAAGAGGAGACTACAGTTTGCAGTCAATAAACAAGCAACGTCGCAATTTGCATTAGTTTTCAATGACTATATCTGGCTGGGTTGGGTTGCACGTTTGGGGTAGGTTGCCCGGCCCTTTCAGATCCCCTTTCTCCAACATCTCTCTTCATAACCAGAGTTATGTAAATAGAATCCAAGTAAATTGCAGAGGGGAGCTGACTCACACGAAAGAGGCACCGTGTCTTGGGTCTCGAGTTCTGGGTGCTTCTGTTTACTTTTCACTACAAGAGACCTCGGGACCAGGCTTATCAGCATTCTAGAGAAGTATAGGTAATCCTGACGATAGAATAGCAATCGAGGTACAACCTTAATTGTTAAAAAGCCAGAAGTCTGTCGACGATGTCAAGTCGAAATAAATTAATTCATTTTAGCAATTGTGAACAATATTTTTCCACCCTTTTGGATTTGAAAGGGTATTGCTTGAGAGGGAAAACCCCGTCAACTTTTGAAAAGTAATAAGTATTTTTATTTGCAGATTAAAGTGTTCATATTGAAATTTCTTTAAATATATTAATTTAAAGAATATAGAACTAATAATTCTCCGCACTGGTAAAAATTTTGATGTAAAATATTGAATATCTTATTGATAGGCTAACGTTATCTGAACACAACAATTTCATTGTAGCTTAATGATGAAGCAGAATAGCTCATACGCTTTGAATTTGTTAGTGTTTAAATGAGAAAGCCTAATCAAGAGTAAACTGATTGTTATGTTATCGTTATTTGTGTGGGCACTTGATTTATATCCCCACCATTCCCGCTTTCACATTTTAGAGGCTGCGACGCAATTGAAAAGTTTTCCGTTTGGAAATTCACTGAACCATTAAACCAAACTTGCGGCGCCACCTTATTTCAAGCAAGACCGCAAAAAATATCCGATTTCAAAAGGGAAAAGAATTCAACTAGAAGGCGTGCCCATTGTTACGACTACATTTTTTACTTTCCATTAGAAAAAAAGGATGTTTAGCTTTTGCATTTCATCTTCAGAAAGCCGTGATAAGCCTAAAGAGCTTTAAACGCTCTTAGCCGCATGAGGAGGCTTGGTCCACACTTCCGGGGAAATCTTTCACAATCTTTTCTTAAGTCCTTTGTCTACAGCCCTTTATTTGCTCGCTTAGTTTCGCACAATCCTTTTCAAGTGCTTGCACACATACACAAAAAATGGGTAATAAAACAAAGGCGAGACCGTTATCCTTTAAATTTAAGTGCAATCGAATTGAGAAAGACTTTCTCTCTTTGGGAATTACAAAGTGACGTACTGATTACATAACTGTTATGTCAGGAGAGAAAACCGGACGAATGGGTGGGTGAGAGAGCGTGTGGGGATTAGAGAGCGAGCTCGGAAGCTGCCACCCACGCAGAGAGAAAGTGTAAATGTCAAAGGGCTCTGACGTAAATAGACAAAAGTTTGCCACCCACATATAGGCATAAATACTGGGAATAATAATAGTTTTAGGATTATGCTATTTTATTGTTTATTACAAGTTCAGCATTTTCTCTTTTTTATGGTCCAAAGCATAAAACCTTTTGGAAAAAGAACAACTTTCTTTCTTGAATGAAATGTTGAGTATGTACCGATTCATTCTTCTTCCTTAAAATTTATTAAAACCAGGTCTACCAAAAATTTTTTCTGTGTAGAAAAGGATACTGCAGTAGATAAATAGACACACACAGTGGCTGTCATTAATTTTGATGCAGCAATTAGGCAAAACAATTTGCGGCATTCAGTGGCCGCAGCTTTTATGCTGTCACTGTTCACGGCAAGGGAGATGAGGAGGGATGGGGGAATCGGTGAAGAGGAGACGAAATCACTGCCATGGCCCTTCAAAGCGGAGCGGAGCTAACCTTACTCTGACCTTGGAGCGGAGCGAGAGGGAGAAAAGAGCAGCTGTCTGCATCGTACATGTCTGCAGTTGATCGGAGGGGGGCCGGTTATAGGCGTAAGGCGGAAAAGGGGCGGGAAATGGCGAAACAAGATTCACAAACGAAGCACAAACCATAAAATAGTCAACGAGTAAGAAGAGGAGGGGTGGTGGTGAAAAGTGGGGTACCATCGAGAAGAGAACTTCAGAACAGCGGCAAAAAACAAGAACAAGAACGTAAAGCTTGTGGCAGGGCGGCAAGGCACAGTCCATGTTATTCTAATATGCCTAAAATTAGATATACTTTTTTGCTTACATTTTTCTTATAGTTTGGATGCTAATAAATGATAACAGAAAGCCATGTATTCCATTTATTATTTTTTATGAGTAACAAAATAAAATTCCTAGTATTAAGTAGTGGTAGTGCAGTTTTGCCTGCAGTCACAGCTAAACTTATTGAAAAAACAGACCGAAGTGTTAATTTATTAAAATATTACATTCATTAACTTTAGTATCACTTAAAATGCTTAAATACAATTTGCAACTTTACCGTAAACAACAATAAACAATAATTAGAGAATAAGTGTTGCCATGAATCAATGCATTTAAGTGTCCAGACCACTCACGGCCACATTGCAGCTAATATTCTGTCCCCCACTGTAAGTTCTGGTGTGGGAGCTTCAGCTCTCCTACTTCTTCTTCCTGCTCTCTGATTCTGCTTCCTCTTCCTACAATCCCGCTTTTCTATGTGTGTGTGTGTGCGCCACGTAAAATTTATTGATTTTCCAGAGGAACTCCTACGGGAATTGAAGAGAAAGAGTGGGAAATTAGGTACCGCGGAACCCCCTTATCTATTTTCCGTACTACGTTTTTTCTTATTCCCCAACTTTTTGTATCAAGCACGCTAGGTTTCTATATGTATGTGTGTGTTGAGTAATTTGCATATCACTTTTTCTAAGCCACAAAAAATGAACTCCACGCATATTTTAAATTTACTTTAGACTTTGCTGATAAGCCGCTTCACTTTGCGCCGACTTAAGATTTTTGCGCTTTTCACAAAACCAAGAACTTTTAAGTTTTTCACTTTTTCACTTGCTTTAAGCACTTCCACTTCGATTTGGCTTGAAATATTTTCTGACTTTTCCGCGTGTTCAGAATACGTGCGTTTTTTTCAAAAGACCGAATGAGAATGAGCGAATAGGACGAAAATCGCAACTATCCCCCAAAGAGAGCAAGCAAATAAGGGGAGAGCCAAAGAGAGCTAAAATTGCGTGAGAGTTTATATGGAGTGGGGCTATTATTTTTTGCTTTTATCTTGGTTTCTTTTTAACGAAACATTTAAATTCAATCCTTATCCCTTTACTTTATTTTTATAAAAAAAAGCTAGCATCCTAGCCTAATACGTTTAACTTATGTTTTAATTAACATCTTTTTGATTCTCGGCTTCATTTACAAAAGTTTTTATTTATAAGCAGCAACAAAAATATAACTGAATACTGAGAAGTTTAGAGAGATGATACATATTAAAAAAGCGCTGCAGGTATTAGTGTAGAACCTAAAAGTCTGACATTATATTTAATTTTAGTTATTTATTATCCTTAAGCTCAGATATTTAAAGCTCTCCAATAAAGACCGTTACACGCTCCGCTGCCTACTGTCAAAAGCTGCTTGCTATGGGGTCAGTATATTTTCTCCAGTGTTTTGTGTTTTTCGACATATGATTGTAGGTGACTAGGGCTGCCGAACAATAATGATTTAAATTTGTATATGAAATTGTATGTACATTATTCAATACATTATTTTCTTTCCAGTTCTTAAAACTACCAACCAGCAATCCAAATATCAGAAACTTAAGCAATCATGATAGTATAACGAATATTAATCTTTTTAGGTATCGATATTTTTGGTTTGGTGTATATTTGCTCAGATCTAGTATTTTTTCAGTTACGATAATTGGTAACACCATTTGTACATGTGCCGGGTCGGCAGCAAAAACTTCAGATAAAAAATACAATCGAATCGAAGCGTCCAGAAAACAAACGAATTTTATTCGCAACCAGTACAAATACTCTGTAAAATGTCTGCCGAGGAAGGACAGTTTGACAACATCCTGCTGGCCGTGGCCGAAAAACATCGCGGCGGCGTGCCCGAGGTAAAACAATAACAAAGAGTAATCATTCTTTGTTTCAATTTGTTTAATAATGTTTTATGTGCTTTTTGTTTAAAGTTCCTGGGGACCTTGGCCAGTTTTTTGCGACGCAAAACCGACTTCTTCACCGGAGCCAAACAGGCGGAATGGGAGAAGCTCCTGCTAGATGTTTTCAAAAAGGAGTCAAAACTGGCCATGGAAGCTCATGGCGAAAAGGTGAAAAGCCGCGAGGCTGCCCAACGTCTAAAGGAGGAAAAGGAGCGAAAGGAACGCGAGGCTCGCCAAAAGGAGATCAACGAAAACAAAATATGTGATATCACCGATGATGAGGCGGCTGCCATTATCAAGGAAGAAGAAAACAAGTATGTGGGGATCATAAAGTACTTATTTACTGAAAGACAAACATGTGTAAACTGAGCTTAATATTTTTATTTGCTTTATCTTCTCAGTATTAAAAGAAAACGTGTAGAAATATTACACAATTTAAAGTTTAAGAAATTCTTAGAGAAATTTATTTATGTCACGAAAGTCTTTCCAGTAAATAAGTGAGCTTGCACACATTTATACACATTTTAAAACTCTTAATATTATCCAGAAAACGTCAGCAGCTGCTGGATGGCGCTGGTGGAGAGCCTGCTACCCCAATAAACGATGACATCTCGAAGCCCATTGAAAAGGTGGACGATGAGACCGAAAAGGGCGAGCTGGGCAAGCTGATGCCAAATGCAGGCAATGGTTGCACCTTAGACAAGTACACCTGGACACAAACGTTGCAGGAGGTGGAGGTAAGTCCGGCCTGGGGTGGCCCTTAAACCCTTGTTCTTAAGAGTTTAACCAGTGAGGTGTTGTCATGATTTTGAGGTAGTTAGTAATGCCACCAGATCACTTTCATGTACATATATAATTCAATTTTATAAGCAGGCATCGCTTGGTTAAAGTCAATACTTAGTCACAAATACAAAGTAATTCATGACGACTTCCAAGAACTGGACACATTTTGTGTTTCATACTTTCTGGTTGCTAGGCTGCAGTCATTGCTGAAAAAACAACGCAGCCCAAGTCATTGACCCTTCGACAGGTGTGTGAGTCAGCAACCCTTCGTTTACAATTATAAAATTCACTTTATTAAACATATCACAGGGATAAATAACTTAATTGCTAACCAGAAAGTACAGCATTATCCGATACCAGGCGGCGATTATGCGATCCGCTCCAGATCTAGTTCATTGTATGTTTCTCTGTCTCCGTAGCATAGCGAGCTTAATACTAATGAAATTTCCCAGCTTCGACTGACTCGACTCTCCATTCAAACAATCGTTTAATAAATAGCTTACTCAACTAGCGCCAAGACGACACGATAACAATAAAAATAATAATAATAATAATAATGGGGGACAAAGACGATACAATAAATAATAAGCTAATGGGCTAGGCAATGTGATTGAATCCTAGCTCTTGGGCATGTCGCGGGCGCGCACTGAAAGAAATAAGAAGTAATAGTTAATATCTGGATGGTTAAGAGGGTTTTTTCAAGAACTTACTCTCCAGCGCATAGACCATGCCCATGATGAGGAGCATGAAGATGGTACTCATGCTCACAATCAACACGGTGACCTGGCGTCCTCGATCGCAGAGACCGCGCTTGGGCTTCTTGGGCGGACCACCCTCGCCGTTGACCATCGTAAAGTGCATCGAGCTGGCAATGGATACGGTGTCCAGGTCTTTGGTTTTCACATACTGCAAGTTGGGATCCACTTCCGATGGCTGCTGGCCATCGATGGTGATCACCGCATCCTGGCCAGTGGCGAGCGTTAGGTTGGCATTGTAGTTGGACGAAGATGGATGGCCGGGCATCAGCATCTTGTTGTGCCGCTCCTGCTTCTTGTGGATCTCCGCGAAGCGTTCCAGATTCGCTGCCGTCAGCAGCAGTGAGCCGGAAGCAGCGCTCTGTTTAAAAGAAGAGAATGTTTGTTGAGTCACGGTTCGGTTTGTGGTTTAGTTTGGAATGGTTTGCTTTGGCTTTGGCTTGGTTCTCCAGAACCGGAGCCACTGCGTGGGATTGGCTTACTCACCCGTGTGCTGTTGTTGCTGTCGCTGGAGCCCTGGGAACTCCTCGATCCCCGCTTGGCAGCTGCTAGTACCGCTGCCGCTGCCGCCGCTGTCACAGCAGCACTTGTATTATTGTTGTTGCTGTTGTTGTTAACATTATTAACATTGCTACTGTTGCTTGGGGAACTGCGCTGGTTGAGGGTGGGCGGATTCGAGTGCGACTTGTTTGAGGACTTTGAGGAGCTGGCCGAACTGATGGCCGAGCTCGAGGAGGAGGCCAGCGAGGCGCGGGGAATGTGCCAATAGTCCTGCATCTGTAAGGGAAATAAAAGGGAGTTGGTTAGATTTTTGATTAGCAAATGAGAAACATATATTTAAAAGATTATTAAGAAATATCTAACCTAAACTTAAACCTTAGTTTAAAAGTATGTTAGGAATTTCTCGTTAAATATAAAATTTAATCTTGTTTCATTACTGAAAGCATTGCCAATTCTTTAGATTTTTTTATACATTTGGAGTTTCAAAATATAGTTTCCATTCTATTAGCTACTCTAACTCTGACTGCTTATCTACCCAATGGTAAAAAGTGTATATTTTTGCACTTTTGTGATCGTGTCACGATTTTGGTACATCCGCTCTGTCCCATTTAAGTCTTCCCTAGCCCCTGTTCTCTGATGCCCTGTTCCTGTCACCCGATGTTGGTTGGTGTTAGCGTCAGAAGAAATCCAATTTCAATATACAAAACCTGAACTTTCGAGTCGCCTTTCGGCTTGTCTTTGTTTTGCATTTGGCTAGCAACTCGTTTGATATTTATGGTCTCTGGTCGTGGCTAAAAGCCTGATTTGTATTTATTATTAATTCGGCTAGTCGACAGTTTTTTTTATTTTTTTTACTTTTTTGGCTAAGCTTTTTATATCTCGGGCCTTTCTCTTTAAATGGCTTCGCCGATTGTTTGCCTTTGACGTAATTGTGGCAATCAATTGTCCTCCCAATGAACATTAGAATTCTATTAAAATGTGGCTATATCCGAAAAAGTTGCAATTCGAGTTTGTGCCTTCAGTCTTTTGTTTGCTTTTGGCTGTCCGAGTTTTTTGTGTGAGCTTTGTGTGCGTTTGTTTTACACAGCACAGAAGTTAATAAATTTGTTCGCGCTGCTTCTTGCGTTTTATTTATTGTAAATATTATTTAGGCATGCGGAAGTCTTATCACTCATTATTGATTCAACCTGATTGGCCAGTTTTCGATTCGTTTTTTTTTTTTTTTACTTCTCACAGTGTTTTATTTTCGGTTTACTTAATGTGTCGCCTTGCGCTGTTTGCTTTACTTACATTTGTTAATTTGTAATTTTCTGTTTGTTTTGTTCTCAGGATTTGTTTGGTTATTACAGTAATTTATCACACACACAATTTAAGTTAATTAGTATCACAATGTGGATTATTTTTAGGCAGAGTCTCGCTCCGATTGTCAGTCTCTTTAATTAGGGTCTTAATATGTGTATAATTTATTTAAATGCGGCTCGCGAAACACTCAGCTGATTGGGCTGCTGTTTGGGGAAACCGTCTCGATTCTTTTCGCAATTCTTCTCGTATCTCAGTGGCGGAATTCTCCTTTCTTCTTCTTCTTCTCAATGCGAAGAATTCTTTGGTGCGCGTGTCGCCAAACAGAACCGATCTAAACGGCCTCAAGAATCGAACTGAAGCGAGCTTAGCGCCCAAGTTGGCCTCACAGGTAAGATCTCTGCTCGCCTGAGCTCTGCCCACCCGGGCTGAGGCGCAGCTTCGCTGTCGCTGGCTCTGCCGGCGTTGACTGCGCGATGCGCAAACCTTTTCGAGTGTAAGTGTTTGTTGTTTTTGCTGACTTTCTTGCCGGATTTTGCATGTCATAACATTTCGACGGTTCTCGTTTGCCACAGTAGTCGCTCGTTAATGAGGAAAAATATACTGAGATTATAAATTCTAATCACAGGGATTATTTAATTAATTTTTTAAAAGATGTAAAAATTACAATGTGAAATCAAAAATGTATTGTTTTACTTTTTCCCGCAATAAGTTAATGTTTTTAATGAACTTTAACTTTACTCTTTGGCTGATCTTTTAAAAAACTTTTTTTAAATGAAAAAATATTTTTTAGCAGTTAAAATTTCTACTAGACAGCACCTACTGTAAACATATTTATAGAAGCTCTTAACGATCGGAAACTTTTTCTGTCCATTCTTTGGACTCGATGATGTTTGATGGGTTTTTGTTGCCGGCTTTGATGTTTGGACTGCTCGCCTTGAGTTGATCAGCTCATCAAGTGATTTGCCCACTTTCTTTTGGGTATTCTTTTCTTGGCTCTCCGCCCTTTTCGCTCATTAAGTTGCAATTCGGTTTTTTTTGCCAGCTATTTCTGATTCTCCAGATCTTCAGTGAAGGGCCCTTAATCGCTTTTGGCGTGTGGGCGTTTTCTAGATCCGTTTCGGCGGCCCAGAAATTGAAGTTTGATTGTGGAAAAACCCTAATTCTAATTTAATGTTAACTTAATTAAGGGCAAACCTTGACCACATTACAAGCAGCTCCGCCCATTCGATGTAGCATCGTTCCCTAAGCCCATTAATGTTTGATTAATACGTTTTCCATTATTAAATCAACGGTTTATGGTCTTATAAATAATATGGTCATTATTTAAATGTCTTCAAGACGAAATAAGCAAGTCTATTTTCGGCTAATTTTGAATTCTAAGAAAGCATTTAACGTCAATGATCCAAACAACCGCTTTATATCAACGCGATCGAAATGAAAACAAATGAATCGATTAATTAATGTGAAATTTGAAACATGATCTTAGATGGGGGATATACAAGTTATCAACTCCCAAAGAAGTTTTCTTTTAAATACTTAAAATTCACAATATGCTAAACATGTTTACTAACTTTTGCTATTTAGAATATTCAAAAACCTTTTCTGACGTTTGACTGAATGAAAATACCAATGAGTCATCATAAAAATAAAATCTTTTGGATTTCCATTAATAAATTATGGGTTTAAGCAACCCCGAAATGTTTGCGTTTCTCTTGCCGGAATTTGTTAAACAAATTGCCAAAAATCCCCAATCTATTGTTTTTTTTTTTTTCGGTTTCGGATAGTTGTCTTCCTTAATCCAACACTGATCTCATATTATTATACCATTAGAGTTATAACGCCCTGTGGGAATTGGTTGGGTAAACAATACGTTCCTAAAGATCCCCAACATTTCTATTACAAATTTGTTTGCTTTTGGCGTTAAATCGGAGGAGAGTTCCCATCTGTCATTCTCTCGGTAGCGAAAAGGCAACACACAAATGTTTCTAATTTAAAAAAAAAAAAAAAAAAAAAATACTTTTGTTGCCTCGTTGGCTGTCGAGCATCTTGTTATCACCTTTTAAGTGAGACAAGTGAGTGGCCTGCCGCCAGATTCAATGTTTTTTTTCTTCTTTTTTTTTTTTTTTTGGGGTATTCTCAACTTTCCGGTGGTATGGGTGAAGTGCTGGCCGATTTAATCAGCGGAGAGTTGACAAAGATTACCTGACACGGCCAGTTACCAGAGCAGTGGCAATGGACTCCGGCGAACGCGAACGCGAATCGCATTAGCAACAAACAAACATAAATCGAATGAGAATCAGGCGGCGGTTTTGAGATCACTACTTCAGCTGGCGAAGATTGAGGGACGTCGCCACTTGAAGATATGGGATGACGGCGAATGGGAGCCGAAACACTTGCTATAGATCGCAGGTCGAACCGATCCGATCCGATCCGAGACATTCCCCCAATAGAATCAACAACATTCACCACCAAATAAAACCAAAGACAAACAAACGGCGATTCTTTTTTTTTTTTTTTTTTTTTATGCATACAATTAAAAATGCAAAATAGTCTCCGATCGATGACAAGCGGACGGAACTTACGTGCCCAGCGATTTCTGTTCCATTTTGGGTGACAACAATTGGGATTAAAAAAATACAATAAAAAATAGATAAATATCTTCGGGAATTCATAATTTTGTCGCCGTAAACGGGGAAATCCCTTGAAGCTATCTGGATAGATCCGTTGACGTTTGCCACGCTTATTTCTGCTGAGCCTGCGGCCAATATTTCTCTGATTGCCGCTATTAAAGCTTAATTTTCGTATAGAAAACGTTTTGGCGATTCTGCCCCCAGGCGATATACTTAATACTTAATATATAGAATCTTCAGTTAATGGAGAATTCCTTGCAAAAATTCTTGATAGCTTGACTCACTCGTCGTCAGGCAAGCGGAAATACTAAATAAACTGCGAATTGATAACTCATCGCGTAAGAGGATTACGTGTAGGTTTTATATATTATACGATTGCATTTATATTGCCGATTCTGCCAGCTTCTAATTGCGAGTTATATAAACGAAACTGAACTTTTATTGGCCCGTTTCACACCTGCCTGGCCAATAAAACTTCTTGATGGGTTTCTCCTATAAATCACGACAAAAGTTTGAAAATTGTGAAATGGATGCCCAAACAAGGTGCGAAAAAAGAATTCAACAAATTAAACGCTTTGTAGATCCAATTTCGATTTCCTGGTAGGGCATTTGTTATTTTCGATCAGGTCAAATAGTTCTGGGAATATCTTTTCACTTGATTTACTATCGAATTCAAATAATCATTTATCCCAGATCTTCCATTGACTTGTTTTGCTAATTTAACTTTGATTTAGTTAATTTATTATTATGGTATATCAAAATAATCTAATCTTATGTAGAATCTATGCTAATGTTTTACAAATTGATATGCCAGCTAAAAGCTTTTACATTTTTTCAAAACATTTATCAACTTATAAGCAAAACAAAAACTTGGTTCTTAAATTACCCAAATTAGCTAAACTTGCTAACTTTTGCAAAGCTATTGAATATCTACTTGAAGACTGATTTCCATTATACTACTGTTCTAGAAGCTTCTTAAATTTGTTGTTCTGATTTTAATTTATGGAAAACCCATTCTAGATGACATATTTAGTTCTGATATAAAAGAGATCTCGTTTTTCACCAAATTTAGAGTCGCATGGAGTTCATTATATGGGATATCCCAACGAAATTGACTAGGTTAACCGGATAAAGTTTGCAGTATCATTTTTGTTTTGTAATCCGCTTATGGCGCAAAACAAATGGCTACCAGATCGATCTCTCAAATCTCATTTACCATACAAATGTCAATACGGATTCTATTGTACCCACTCGAGAGCTCATTGTACGCCGTGATTTTTAAGGGGACGGGGGATCGGATCGCATTGGATTGGATTGGATCGATTCGGAATAGATTGGAGTGGAGTGGAGCCGTCGCGTTCCCAATAGGAACTAGTTTCAGACTTAAACGCAAAACAATTCTAAATGGAAAGGAATAAAAAAGAATTTGCCACGCTCGACTTCGATTCCATCTCCCTCTGTTTTCTGTTCTGAGATTTTTTAGGGGGCCACTCGACTTCTGACCACAAATAAGTCAAGTTTAAGCCGCTTTTAATGAGGTGGCAGTGGGCACTGGTAAAGATAAATATCTGGATAAGGGTTTATTTAGGTTTATTTAGGAAGTTGTTAATTAAAAAGTAATGATTCTAAGGCAATTACCTAGGTAAAATATTTTTAATTTATTTTATTTTATTCTTTTCCTTTAAGAAATTAATTACCCATGCTTTATAATATTCAAAATGATTTGCAATCCAAATATACTTTTTTAAGCTGAAAGCCTATACTTTAACGATTATCAAATATCTTTAAAGTTATATGGTATCTAGAATTTCTAGTTTTCGACCAATCACTGTACCCCTCGGCCAAGTTCCTTGGCGACTCAGCTGTTTTCTGTGATAACATTATCGAATACAAAACACTCGGCAGATACACACTTCTAAGCACTCGACTCCATCAACAAAGCTAGTTTTTTTTTTTCAGTCTTTCGATTTTTATTTTGTTTAAATGGAAGGTTTGTTGTTTCTACGCCAATTTTATTGTTGTTGTTATTGCTGTTGCGACCGTTCTTTTTTTTTCCTATTTAACTTTTTTGGTGGTGCCTGGCACCGGATCGCATCTTTTAGCATAAATTATTCGCGGCTAGATATTTAAAGAAAATGAAATGCTGTTCAAGTTTTATAGAATTAATCAGTGGCGGCAGATCAGATGAAATAGCAACAAATAACAGTTTTAAACGGCAGCAGCAGACTTTAGATGTCTTTCACTTTACACAGAGAGAGAGAATCCAAATCCAAAGCAAATTGGATCGAATGATCGATTAACTGGTTGGCGATTTAACGTGCAGCCTGGCCATGATATGAAAATTAAAATTAACCCAATCGATTTGCATAAAATCGCCCACTGTCAGACGATTCGTCTGCGAATCCGCTCTCACCTGATGAAGAAGTGTGCCAAGTCTCGTGATTTTTTCCTATTTTTTTTTTCTATTTTTTTTCTGTTTTTTTTTGCCTTCATCACAGTCATCAATATTTGTTATTATTCATTAATTCATTCACGACACCTTTTATGCTCGTCTGAACTCAAAAGCGAACTCTGACTTTGACTGGCGGTGACTCTTCAGCTTTATGTTTATTTTTTTTTATTTTTTTCTTTTTGGTGGCACAGCTTCATTTTCATACCTCAAAATTTTGGCTTAAAGTCTATTGTTTTTCCTTGAGTCGCGGCATTTGCATGAGTATCCCACCTGTTGGGTTGATTTAATGGCCAGTTCGCTGGTGTCAGCCAGTCTGCTGACTTGTGATTTGTGTAAATTTCCTAGTTTCGAGCATTAGTTTCTTTGAGTTGCCATTTGCATAACCTTGAGCCATGCAGCAGAATGGTTTTTGTCTTTACATCGTTGGGTCCCTTGAGAAAGCTTACATTTACCTAATTAACTTTACATAAATTCCAGTTCCCAAAAGCGAAGTGAAACATTCGAATTTTGGCATTTATTAGAATGTTTAGTCACTTGATAAATTTGCTTTTTATAGGATTTAAAACCAAACTGTAAGAAAGGTAAATTGGTTCACAACTAAATTAATCACTTTTTTGTGCAGAATAATTGGTCTGCTATAATAATTCTCTTCCCATTTCTGCAGCTAAATTGCTGCAGTGAATTGCGAACAATTCCAATTGCTTTTTTCTGTTGGCAAGCTGAAAAGTTTAATCGGTGCCCACGTCTCCAGATATATTTTTTCTTATTCTGAGTTGGCTGGGCTATTTTTGTTGCAGCTTTACTTACATCCGCGTACGATTCAATGCTTCCAATTGACATCCGCTTCAGTTTCAGCTTTTGACACATTTTTCAACCGCGAGATCGCAGCTGATGAAGTTGCCACCCACACGAGTTGCGATCTGAGATCTGCGATCTCAGTGAGCTTCTGTTGACACAAGCCGCGTGCTCCGTGAAGAAGAACTCAAAGGTGCCACTACTACGAGCACCTTGGCTGACTGCCCACACGAATGTGTATTACCCCCCACTGGATATAGACTCTATGGAGTCTAAAGAGTGCTATACAGAGTCTATATCATCAAAGGAACGAAAGCGTCCTTGGCTAAATGAGGCGTCGTGAGATTTAAATTAAAGGCTTAGCTTCTTGCCCCTCATTGTTTGTGTTTGTGGCACATGCGATTCGCTAATTGATTGCACAGCCAAGTTGTCTAATAACTCCGGCTTTAATTATGCTGCCAGCAGCTAATGGGAAAGGTGTTAATGTTTGCGGGTATCCGTGCGATTTATAATTAATGGCCAGCCGTGGCACATAATTCTAGACGCCACTGTAATTGCTGTGAACTTGGCCAAGCAGCCACATAAATCCATCCGCAGGTTGCTTCACTTATTTACACCGAGAACAATTTTTTAAAAAGCGCTTAAAGATTGTTTATATTATATTATACTTCATAAATTGTTTTAATACCATTGAAACTAAAATTAATATGAAAGAAAACTAATTGAAAATCAAATTGAAAATTAATTTAAAATCTAAAAAAAAGTTTGATTTGATTTTGTCTGATATTACAATTGAATTGCATATTTATTCAATCATTTAAAGATTAAATTATTTTTCGAATAAGAAATTTATTTTAAATCCAATTTTGAGTAATAAATTTAAATCGATCCCTAAAATGCGTCACTAAATTTCTCTGTGTAGCCGTTGCAACCTGTTGAGCGACATTCTTTAGAGCTCCTCGGGGCTACGAGGCTGGAGAATCGATGTTAACGTTAACTCCCCTAACCGGACCTGAAGAACCGCTGTACGTCCTTGAACTGGCCGGTGAACTAAATTCCCGTTCCACATTGGGTCCTTGAACAAAGGAAGACCAGATCAGTGGATCTGGTGAAGGGCAGATCGGGCAGCTGTGATATGATCTCTGCGTTGGATCGTTGGATGCAAAAGAGACGTGCCCCTGTAGTCGGTTATTTATAGATATAGAGATCGTTATTAGCCCGCCAAGGTTGTGCAATGACCAAAGCAAAGTCTGGCTAAAGAATCTCCGTTGATGTAAGCACACACATCCGATCATTAATCACAAGACCTGCCACTCAGAGCTTGATTACATGAAGAACCCCTGAATAATCCAATCCGCTCTACTCCAGTTTGATTGTCATTAACGGAATGGCTTTAGCTGCCTTACACAAAGCGAAATCAATAGTAATAATATATATATCAAGTATTAAATTCTGATTAAAAGTTTCACTTAAAAGGAGAAAACCTAAAAATAGATTTCCATTGATATACATATTTAAAAAAGCTTAAGGAGAATATTATATTATTTCCTCTCCCCTTATTCTTTTAATTTTCAAGAAACAGAACCCAACTAATCAGAAAACTATAAACATTTTCTTTCTCTGCAGCTCAAGATTCCCTTCAACGTGTCATTCGCTCTTCGCGCCCGCGATCTGGTGGTCAGCATTGGCAAGAAGTCGCTGAAGGTGGGCATCAAAGGTCAAGAGCCCATCATCGATGGCGAGCTCTGTGGCGAGGTGAAGCAGGAGGAGTCCGTGTGGGTCTTGCAAGACAGCAAAACCGTGATGATCACCCTCGACAAGATCAACAAGATGAACTGGTGGAGCCGCCTGGTCACCAGCGATCCGGAGATATCAACACGCAAGATCAATCCAGAGTCGTCGAAGCTATCGGATTTGGATGGCGAAACACGCAGCATGGTCGAGAAAATGATGTTCGATCAGCGGCAGAAGGAGTTGGGTCTACCCACCAGTGACGATCGCAAGAAGCAGGATATACTTGAGAAGTGAGTAATCCTCTATTTTTATCAACTCCTTATTGATGAATCACCTTTCCCATTTCAGGTTCAAGCAACAGCATCCCGAGATGGACTTCTCCAAGTGCAAGTTCAATTAGATTTACATTCTCAGCCTAAAATGTACAACTTTCGCTTTCGCACTCTTCTCACTCGTTCACATTTGAAATGTGTATTCTTCTTCATCTTTCCAACCACCCAATAAACTAATGCAAGCAAAATAAATATAATTTCTATACCGTACAGCATTTGAGTTGACCAAAAAACCCGCCTCTTAAAATATTTTAATATGTTAATACCAATTAGCTAGTGAAAGCCAAACAGAAAAACAAAACAAAAAATCGATCATTCGGCCAAGAGGATTTTAAAACCAGCTTGATCTTCTGCAAATGATCGAGGTAACTTCTCGTGTTTTATAGCCACCTTTTAAAATGAATTTAAATTGAATTTATTTATTGGAGTTGAACATGATCGAGGAACTGGATTGAAGGAATTTCTTTACTTATCTTTAACGGTTTTGGGTTCTGGGCATTCGTCTTCGTTCGGGGACCACGCCCAAAATCCAGATCAGAATTTCTCAGTAGTTCTCTGGGTCAATGATCTGATAAATTCTGAACTTGTTTTGCTAAGCCGATCATAAATTTAGTGTGTCTATCTTAATAAATAGTTTATATGTTGATTTGGCGAGCTTTGGCTTTGTATAATTTGTAAAGTGCTAAGCAATTTTTTAATGGCTACGACTAATTTGGCAACTAATTGGTTGTTTTGCCTTTAAAATTTTGAATTTGCGTATTTTATTCGCCACGCGCCGTGAGTTTTTGGCATCGAGATGAAAGCGTGACACGCAGAAGATTGGGAAAAATAGATTTATGGGTATTTAAAATTTTATTGTCCCAAAGATCTTCATTAATACTGTTAAATGATTCATAGATATTTTAGTTTTAGTGATAAAATGAAACTATTGTTGGTGAAAATACATCTGAATTGTTTAGCTTGTTCAACCAACCATCTCTAGTTCCTGAAAATCTAGGGAGAAGTAGAGACATTTGATACGCCCCGTTTAGTTGTTAATTCTCGTAGCTCATTGATTAGTTAAAACGTTTTGCGAGCTGTGTGTTAACAGACCGTAGAAAAAGAAGCAGTCGAACAAAATAACCAACAGGCCGAAATTAATGAATGGTTTCCCCATCACAATGGGGTGGAGGCCAAAGGAGATGGCTTTGGATAGTAAACCCAACTAATCATCATCGTTCGTGTGGGTGGCACTGTGTCATGCGATCATGCGCCTCACTTAATTAATTACCAATTAATATCATAAATTACTGTCAGTGCGAACAATACAAATTAGAATTGCACAAAAGTTTGCCGAAAAAAAAACTCGAAATTGTGCGGGGTCGAGTGGAGTCAGCTAATGGCCAAAAATAAATTGTAACAAATTGTTTGAGGTCAAGAACAAACATTAGGACACAGAACCCGTAGCAGAACCGGATTTTTGGTTTGAACTTAAATCTGGAATTTTGTTTGTTATAAATTGGAAAGTACAAAATGCTTTCAGTTTGTTATATCCGCTTCGGTTTCTGTCGGCCAATTAGAAGACAACCGGTTGACAAAAAAAAAATCCGAGGGGAAAGAGAAAGCCCATCGCTAAATGTGGTTAGATAATTTGCAAAACTTTTCTGCATCCAGAATGTGCTTCACTCCCAGCGAAATTAAAGGGGAAATTTAGTTTTACCGCCCTGAGGGAACTATAATGATAATGATAATGATATTCTTTCAGGCGCAAGTCAGTCGCTATAAATAGCCTTTTTATTCAAATCAATTGAACTGTTAAATGACGCACGTGATGAATGCGTCTTGTCTGGCTGACCGCCGTCCAGCAGAGAAATCAATAAATATTAAATGTATGAAACACAAAAAAAAAAAAAAAAAATACAAGCCGAATCAACAACAATGCGGAGCCATAAATAATGAATCCGGGTGCCTGGTTCTACTGCTGAGTTTTTATTATTATTGTTTCGACAGCCGCAAATTTTTGGTAATTTCGAGTGTTTCCCACATCTCTAACACACACACACATACACACGTACATTCAATCTAATGCCAATGGCACAAATTATTCCTTTGGGGCGTTCTCAAAACGCTCGACGGTCGCGTGGGCCAGTCTATTTTTTACTTGTTCCCCCCGAAACTTATTTTTTATGCTGGTAATTGCGGCACATTTGTTATTTTTAGCCGACTGGAGTCTGGTTTCGCCCATTAACTATTGCCAGTGGAATTTTTTGGGGAAGAAAGGGTGCGGGATCTGGGCTTATGGCTCTATTGTAAAATCAGCGTCATGCCGGTCGCGCCTCATAAATTGGTCTAGACTTTGGCTCAGACAAAAGACTTAGGCAACGAACTCGCTCCGAAATCGCTGACCCGCTGGAAAGTTTTTCCGTTGCTAAGCAAAAAATCAAATAAAAAAACAGCAGCGCTGTGGGCATTTACTGTGTCCACTTTGAAGGTCAAGCATAAACTGCAGTCGCAACGGCAATAACTGTAAATACCCGAAACTCAAAAGACAAAGCCACCCAATAAATTAACCCTTTTATGTGACTTGTCCTATTTATGGGACAATGTGCATGGCTTAATATTTGAAAGACGAAATAAAACTTTACTATATTTTTGGAAGCTATTACAAAAATATTAATTTTTATGCAGCAAGCAATTTTATAATTTTCCGAGAGAGCAATAAAAAAATGTAAGTTAGTAAAAATTCTAATAGGTTTGTTATTACATTTTATTTTAATGCATTAAATTTCGCAGGAAAATCAAAAAAAAAAAAAAAAATAATGCAGTTAGAATAAATCAACAGAAATTGTGCGTTTAATTTAATCTCCAGTGTGTTTAAAAAAAATCGATCACCAACCAGAAAGCATAAATTATTCATCAGTAAACGGATTTCCCTGACTGAATCATTCATCAATAACTTTAATAAGATCTAAAAGTTGTTTTCTTTTATATTCTGTATAGCATTCTTTGAGAACGATTCATCAATAATTAAAGTATTTAAATATTATAGCATATTGCATAGTTTTCTCTGATAGGGTTAATCATTTTCATTAGGGAGAAGGGGACTCCTCTCGGTTTGGTTGGGTGTGTGGAAGCCCGAACCAGACTTGAAACACTACAATGTAGATTCCACACAACTGATGACGTTGGTGGGCTTGTCACACGACGCCAATGAACCGTGGAGTGGCAACTTGAGCCAATGGACATGGAAATTTGTTGGCCTGGTCTTGAGATGTGCAGACAGTCGCGTTCGCGGGCGGAGATTTATGTCATTGGCTTATGGCCATTACGTTGGCCATTTCGTCAGCCGATCGACCGGATCGTTCAAGGGTTCTAAGCTCTGCATGTCAATATATGTATATGGATAAATATATCCGGCTGGGTTCCCGGACCTGATTCATGTTGCAGCCGTTCTGCCATTACATTGCCATACATATTTATTTTATTTTAATTTTTTTTCTGCCTTTGGAGTTGCCTTCACTTTTTGGCTGCCATTGCCTGCAGGAATTTCCAATTAGCTTTGGTTATCGCACAATTTGTTTGCCTGGTTGCCTGCATTTGCATACCGGGTGCTGAGCGATTTATCGATGCTATTAGCTTGCTTTTCGGTGGATGCTAATTTACGAGATTTACCAGCTTTTATCTTGTCCAAAAACAAAAAAAAAAACGGTGGAAAGAAATCTTTTGGTTGATATCAACGGGAGACCAAATAATTTGCTTATTAAATATCTAATTTTGGAGGCTTGCAGAGGTTTTAACATTAGTTTTTCCATAATCAAAAACCTATCCGCGTATTTACCCAATTTTTTTATCCCAACATTTTCATTAGCCGCTTCGGTATTGCCTACTGCCAACCGCTCGAGTGTTGGCCCAAATCATTTTGTTGGCCAGCGGTACACAGCAGCTGTTCCACCGTTCACCGCTTTGATAGCGATCTATTAATTGGCCATTTTTGGCGAATTATTTCTCGGATTTTTTTCTCAATCTTAATGCTTTGTTTTCGGCTTTATCTTTTGTCTGAATTATGACTAATTTTATGGTATTTAGAGTGCGGGCGACGACAAATTTGTTGTCCATTTTTTCATTGGCAATTAAGTGGGAAAATTTGTTTTTAAAACCTAATGACTTTGGGTACTCATAAGGAAAAGTGTTTTATTAGCTAAAATTTATGTAATCAATTTTCTGCATCCCATTTTGGATCAATGACACAATCTCCCCACCCAAAACATTCATTCAGAATATTCCCATGACTCAGTTTACCTCCTTAATAGTTTATTTTTTGTTTTCAAAACAATCTGTACATTGATAAAGTGACCGAAAACCAATGTTTATCCAGTGGACATCGTGGGTGGTCAACAATCAATTATCCCAAAAAGAGGGTGAGGGGGTGAGTATAGTATATAATAAAAGCTATTAATAATACAACAATATCATTTGTTAGACATTTTATGAATTGCTGTTCTTTATGCTGTGTTCATCACCCGAGAATGTTGTGTGAAAGGCAGAAGAGCAATCAAACTGATGATGATGCATCTGAATGAGGGGATTACTATATAATCGTGAATGGGTTTAATGCATATCTATGCATCAAACGGACAATTAGAGAATGATTTCACTCGATTAAACTTTGAATGGAGGAAGTTCTTGTTCAACATACTTGGGCTTTCTGATTGCATAAGTAATTTCTGACTGAATATCAAGAGTTTAATTTCTTATGAAGAGAGCTCTCTTGTTACTTGCCAGCTCATCTGAAAGCAATTAGAAAATTCCTAGCCCATTTCTGCTAAATGATTTTGCATAATTTTAAAGAATAATAAGAACTTTTCTCAACACCAACTTTATGTATTATTTGGTAAGCAATACTTTACAATTTATTAATTACTGAAATTAATTTTTGTTTCCTCTCATTAGTTTTCTACAAGCCTTTTGCAGTTTTTAAAATATTCGTTACATCAAATTGTTTTTTTTTTATGATCATTTAATTTTTATTAGCTCATTAATGAACAAGCTTTCCTGTTCCCTTCAATTAACACACAACCGAAAAGGTTACAAAAGGGGGGTTTGTGCACTTGCATAATTATTCACACATCTAGCAAGTTAAATATAAAACAAAAGTTAAATAAAGGCTGAGAAAAAAACCAACAAAAAACATACATTAAAGTTGACATGGGAAATGCCCCGAAAGCTCAGAG